TTGAGTTGATCGCCACCCTGCCCAGTCATAATTGATTTTGACTCCTGCTCTCACCACGGGGAGAAGCTAGGCCCCAAGGCAGGTACATGGGGTTGGTTCATAGAGGGCATGGAATTTGCGAGGTACGAGAACGACTTCTTTGGGCTCTCAAAGCTCCGAGAATATATGCTCAAGTAGACCTTCAAATTATCTTGATGCGGCGAGGTGAACTTCTTTTCACATAGGGGTGGAGGTGCTAGGTAGCGCTTAGGCTACAATCACATTAATATCAATATATAACTAATCTCCCGGACAAAACGTATTAGAAGCCTCACATTCAAAGTGGTCAATATGGCATGACAATGTAGGGGCTCCAGATGTATTCATTTATTTATTAGCTGTGTTGAACAGCTGCTATTTACTGCTGCAATATGTTCCATGTGGTGCGTACACCTCATTCCATTTGGTTGCGCAAGAACCAGCCACGTCCCTTGGTTATACCTCAGACCGCAAAGGGCCAACGCGATACTTTGACTGAACACACAATTAGAAATGGCGACTCGACAATAATACAAAAATGCAGTCATACTTTATTGAGGATGAACGTAGCTGTCGGAATACTTGCAATCCGACCGACCGCAGTCAGACGCCCTGTACGTGTAGGTCGACCCATCAGGTCGACGAGCGGTGACGAACTTGCACATATCAACCAGACCTTCAATTTCGCCCAAAGACATTCTCACGGACTCGAATTCTGGGCGGCTAAATCAAGATTTGTAGTGGTATAGAGCGTCAAAGTGGAATCAGCGGGCATAAGAACTGATGGTGTATACAATTCCAGAAAGGAGCGGCGGACTGTATCTATTTAACTCTGAGCGTACTGCTTCATACATGAGTAGTGAGTCATGACTAAGCCTGGGAGTATTGACATTATACTCCAATTACAATTGTAATTGAGGTATGAAGTACAACTGCACCCTCGACCAACATGTAAAGTGTTCTTACACCCCCAGCCGACATGTGCTGTGCGATTGCACCCTCAGCCAACTCCTGCAGTGCAATGACACTTTCAGTTGCGTATGCGGTGCAATTGCACACGGTTAACCATAAAACGAGTAGGCAAATAGTACTATCAGAGTGGAATGGTTGGGAACTCTGGCAGCTACGCTCACCACACTGTACCAAGATATATCCTGAGACTTGTACATAAGACGCCTGCAACTTCATATTCGAAGCAGAAAAGTACGATTTGTTTTATAGGTGTGCGGCACATCTGGCAATGCCTTGCAGCGTCGTGCATGCCGTCAGTGACTCATTTCCTAGGTGTGATGCGAGCCAATGGTCATGATAAAGGAGGCTAGTTGGTCTCAAGAGATAATCCGACCTGTTGCCTGTACCAACTACTCCGCCATGCCCGGCGATTTACGAATTTGGCGATATGAATTGTACAACCACATTGTTCCCTGTACCAGCCGCTTGACCATGACCGGATTATGTCGTCGGCGATATCCAAATTTGGTTGTACAATTGGTGTGAGCCAACTGCGCATCTAGATTGCTTCTTGTACGTTTGGCTCCGCAATTCGTGCAGGATATCACGATGAATGTTCGATGAGGATTTGGTATCTCCGCCGGGAAAGAATACATACGTAGGGTTGGGCGACAAGAAAAGGGCCAATCTTCCGTAATCGCGCATGGAGGAGACGGCAGCGGCACAAAACTGGACTTGATGGCCAAGAGACAAGACGGTTGAGTCCGGCTCTGCATCCATATACGTCCTGAATTAGGCAATGTTGTGTTCTACAAGTCGAGCTTTTTTCAGTTGACCACAATGGCACATTGTTGAATTCTGCCAGGCACTTCACCAGAGTATGGGGTTCTTCCAGGCCTAGATTGCCAAAGAAGTAGCCAGATGAGCCTATCCCACCGAGATCGTCATATGGTACATAAATGCTGTTATTTCTGTCTCGTTGCCCTTCAGGGTGCGCTTGCACGTTTTATGGTGCATTCGCACCACCAGAGTGTGCCTGCTTTTAAGCATATCGCCCCAGCTCGTCATTCTAGTGGTCTGTGTATCTGGGGTAGGAGCGTGAATGAGTCTGTGGCACGTTCGGGAAAAGGTATAAGGAGCCATTTCTCGATTAAATACAAGCCACTTGTTCATATTCATGCTACTCTTTATGGCGCTCCCTCCTTAGCTTCAAGGCATTCCAACTTTCTTGCATCTCTCATAGCCACACCATCATTCACTCTTAAACGATCTGTTGTGCCCTTCCTCTTTGAACAGCACCTTGGCACTGCCAATACCATCCGGCCTGTGTATTCAGACGGGTCGACTTTAAAGGGTAAGTAAGTGTTTGCATACAATCCCTCGTCGTAATCCATCTCGAAGATGTTGATTTGCAACACCTCTGGATCGGGATCATCAGCAGGAACAAGGTGGTCGAACGTAACGCCGTAGTAATCAATAACCCTGAAATATTGGGAAACGTCAATCCAGTTCCTATACGTACCATTTGCATTCAGAGGCGGACTACCATCTTACCTGCGAGGTCTCTCTTCTCGCACCCAACCCAAGTACTCATCTCGCACAATGAGGTCGTTAGTAACGTCTGCCCGATCCTGTCGCCCATAAATGACTTGGTACGCCAGCCTCGCCAACATTGGACCAGCAGGTTGAGGGAAGTCTGGATCTTCTAGGTTCCAGGGAACCTCCGGAAACAGTTTTTGAATAGACGTCAATGGGCCCTCAATCTGGATCCTTAGTGGGCTGGCGAATTGAGGCGGATGGCGAGGATGAGTGGGAGTGCGAATACAAGGTGGAATATGTAATTCGAGTCCCATACTTGACGTTTGTAGGACAGTTGCTTTCGTTGTATGTATAGTTGCAGCGAATTACATTGAAAGATGAGGAACGAATTGTTTTGGTATAGTGCTACAGAGAACAGGTGAAGGAAAGGATGAAAAATGGAAAGTACGTCTGGTTTGGAGTCCTTATTAGTCAGCTTCTAGTCAGTTGGTTTCCAGTCATCTAGGCCACCAGACGGCTTCTTCTGTCTCGTAGCGCTTTGACACGACTCTTCCAAAACAAGTAACGTAACTACACTTTGCCTGGTGCATTTGCACTCTGCATGGTGCGTTTGCACTGCATGATGCGTTTGCATTATAGTGCGTGTGTGATTGGCTTGTGACCATTGATTCATACAGCCCGAAATAGGAAATTTAGAACAGGTAACAGGTTGCCCAATCATTCTTCATCTTCATCTCCACTTCTCCACCCGTCCGTGGCCTGCACGACCACATCTGTATGAAGTTGTCACGGCACTGTTCCGTATCGCCAAATCTTTACATTCCTGAATACGGTACGTAGCTCTACGGTAAGTACATATGTAGCTCCACGGTAGAAACTGTGTCCTCTTTAGAGCCCTTGTCACACCTACCGTGTATAAATATCCCGCATATTAGCACAAGCCTAGACATTAAATCGTCCGCGAATTCCTCAAAAGTTGGTCTTTTCTCGTTCCTCATGATAGAATGTCTCCATTTGCCATTTGGATTCTGCTGGTGGCCAGCGTCTTGGCAATGACGCTTCCAGATAAGAAGCTACAAGTGAAAAAATCCGACGCCCGTCACGCGAGACTAATGAGCGAGCTTGGCCGTCGATATAAGCGCACCATGCTCGCTTCTCTCACGGGCACATGCAGCGACAAGAATGTCGTCCTGCGCAAGGAGTGGTTCGTTCGACGGGCCTTATTCCACCTACACGACGACTGATGCTGCAGAAGGCATGCACTATCCGCAGGCCAGCGACGGGAGTACATCAAGGCTGTCCGATGCCTGCAATCAAAACCAGCCACCCCTCCTGCTGGGCCTGCTCGAACTCGATTTGAACAATTCGTCCTATCCCACGCCGACCAGAGCCTGCTGATTCACTTCTCCGTGAGTTCCAACACACCCCGACTATGAATCGTGCTGTTGACTGCGCAGGGCTTGTTGCTGCCCTGGCATCGATATTTCCTCTCTCTATACGAGAAGGCCTTGCGCGACGAGTGCGGCTACCAAGGCCATCAGCCGTACTGGGACTGGTGCAGGTCAGCGGCCGATCCATTGAATGCCTCCATCTTCGACGGAACAGACACCTCCCTAGGCAGCAATGGCAAAGCAATACCTCACGCCGGCATCAACCTAACGAACCCAGTCGGCCCGCCCCCCGTATCCTTTTTCCTACGGCCCGCGGGTTCGGGTGGCGGTTGTGTGTCGGGGCCGTTTGAAATCCTGACTCTGCATCTTGACGGCAGCAACGCCGGCGCCAGCACGCCGTTGAAGCTGCGTGACCGTCCCCGGTGCCTCACACGCGACTTCTCCTGGCCCATACTCGATGAAAGCAACTCGTACCGAAGAGTCCTAGACTTGATTATCAACAGCAGCGATATTCACAGCTTCCTGTCGGCCGTGGAAGCGCCAGACGGCGTACACCCCGGCGGGCACTTGTTTATCGGGGGCGACAGCCTGAATCTATTCACATCCCCGAATGAGCCCCTCTTCTACCTGCATCATGCTATGCTAGACCGGGTTTGGGCCATTTGGCAGAGTAGAGATTGGTCGGCGAGGCAGAACGCTCTTGATGGGACGCTTACCGCAAAGAATTGTGAGTATATACAGGATGCACAGGGTCAGGTCAGGGGCTAACTAATGATTCCAGACCCCCCGAGCGCCAATGCTACTGTTGATGACGACATGATGGTGGGCAATTTGGGTGCATCTCGGCGCATAGGCGAGGTCATGTCGACGGTGGGTGGTTATTTGTGCTATGTCTATGATTGAGACGGGCCGGACTGCCGGCTTGGAAAATAGGAAAACGGCAAACGAGGTTACGGAAATGCAACATGATTCGTTGGGACTACAGGCGGGTGTTGTATCATGACAAGATTGAAGTTTATTGTCTACCCGGTTCCGTACGGTACTATGGCCTTGGTACGGCCAAAACACGGCTTAACCTGAGTATCGTTCAATCTCATGACGGAGTGCTTGCCTGGTCATGGGGATTATTCTTCTTTTGGAAAAGAATTAGTGCAGCCTGGCATGTGCTATTCGTAGGGCAGCAACACACTTGCCGTCTTGGACTACAGAACGATACAACATGCGGCAAGCGATTCGTTATGCCCCAGGCCTAATTCGCAAGCAGGAAGACGCAAATGGGATAAGACGCTGGACATTACTACGTAAGCTGGCAAACATCTTGTTGGGAATTCAAGCCAGTCGGTGGTGCAATTGTGTTGGATCTCAACACCACAAAACCTAAGTGGAAGTGTACCAAGCAAGGAGCGCCTGAATGACGATGACGATGCGGTACAGACAGCATTCTAGCTACCCCAGCTCTCAGATCTGGATATAGTTGGCCGAATCGTGAGTATGGGAAAAACTCGAAAGACAAGTAGATGTACCTAGTAGGACTCTAATGGATCGGTCGTAAAGGATGTACGACGTCGCAACGTCCCCAAAGACAAATATCGATTTAAAAAGTAGTCATCTTCATCAGAGCTACAGGCAAGCTTTATGAAACCTCTCAGGCTAATCATTATTCATAAAAAGCACTTTCTATTCCCCTTCCCAGCCCCGTCCCCGGCCACCAGGCGTCACCCTGGCCCCTATGCCTTTGGAAACTCCTTCCAGGCCGCATATTTGCGATAGATGTCCTTTCGGAATACCTGCTTCAGCTCGGAGACGGCAGGCACATCCAGGGGCAATTTAGCTTGCACGGCGCCGATTCCACAGAGATCATTCTTCCGATCAATGAACCAGGTCAGAGTCATGCCACCGCCCCAAGTAAGCGTATTCGAACCGTACCAGCCGTGGACGTCTTGCAGAGTCAGCAGGCCGCCGAGCCCGTAGCCCATCTTGGTGTCCGAATCGACACCAACTCGGAAAAAGACACCCCCCGGACCAGCCAACGCTGCCTGATGACCGGCCGCCGACTCTGGTGTAAGATGGTCCTTGAACATGCTCTCGACAGTCTCTCGCTTGAGCAACTTGCCATCATTAGCAAGCAGCGACTGCAAAATCTTGACATAGTCGACGGCGGGCATAAACAGGCCGTGGCCGCCAAAGTCTCCTTTACAACGTGTATTCACGTCGCTCTCGCCGCCAATGACAGCACGTCCCTGGCCATTAGGATCGTCGGGATTCAAATCGACCATCCGGGCGCGCAAGTCCTCCCGCGTAACAGGATAAAACTGGGCATCCCGGCAGCCGAGAGGAGCCAAGACGCGCTCCAACACATGGTCACCCAGCGTGCGCCCCGTGACGCGCTCGACAATGCGCCCGGCCCAGTCGACCCCAGAGCCGTACATCCACCCGGCGCCGGGCTGGTGAGCAAGCGGGTAGGCGAACAATTCCTCCACCGTCTTGAGCTGCCCCTGCGTCGGGGGGGAGAATATCTCGCGCCATTTGCCCACGAGCGGGGCGAGGAAGTCGTACGCCGTGCCGGCGCTGTGCGTGAGCAGCATCTCGAGCGTGATGGGACGCGCTGCCGGCTCGAGAATCGGCGTCTTGCCGTCGTCGCCGAAGCCCTGGAGTACTTGCTTGGCGGTGAGCTCGGGCGCGACCGGCGAGAGGTCGCCGTCGAGCGTGAGGAGGCCGTCCTCGACGCACTGCAGGGCGGCGATGGAGGCAACCAGCTTGGTGGCCGAGGCTAGGAATAAGACATCGTCCAGTTGCTGCGGGCGTTTTTCTCCAGATAAGAGAGTGCGTTCTCCAATGGCCTTGTTGTACGTGAAGTCGCCTTTGGAATCCGTGGCGCAGATGACGGCGCCGTTGATGGTGCCGGATGCAATGGCGGCTTGGAAGCTGGTCTCGATGGTGCCGGCCATGACGGGTGCGGTTGGGGTACTTGGCGGGCGTGGGATTGTAGAATTATTCTGAGGGTGTTTGTTCATGGGGAGAGTTGCGTGTTGAGCGCGATTTACTTTGCATGTCGCCGCGTCATGCAAAGAATCTGACATAAGCCCAACGACCATGTTGCATTCCCTTGCGGCCACGAAACACGCCTCGGTCGCTATTCACCGTCTGGTTGTATAGTACGTGGCTGCAGATGACGTACCTTTATTGTCATGTCACGGATGCATTTGGACTGGATTATTTACCCCTTCATAACGTGGGATACCAGTAGATTTGGTGTAGCCTGCCCAGCGCCGAGTTCCCACGTCAGATTCGGCCGGTTCTGGCTGGCATTCAAATGTCGTTGTAGCGTCTGGTGTGGATCGCGACAAGACTTGCGGCTAGAAAATAAATCTGATTAAACTGGTGTGACAACATATTGGCTACAAAGCGCTTGTGAATCATAGCCTCAGTCTGTGGCACATCCCTCCCTTCTCCCCTGGCTGCACCGCCCACATACCACTAACCCACTCACGACGGATGACCTACTTTTGGTGACCGTTGGTGAGTAAAATTGTATATACAGAGCGAGAAAGTTGCGAATGGGTTTGGCGAATGCCCTACCCTGTGGAATAACCACCCTCTGTAAGGCTACATGTAGCCTTAGCACGCCGCTTGCCCTCCTATAAGGATCTGTGTGGCTCTATGTCTCGGTGCTTAAGAAATAAATCCAATCAAACAGTATGAATTTGCGCCGCTGTTGTCGCATATTCTCGCCAATCTAACACGTATACAGCTCCAAGGGATATACTCGTTGCATCCGGCCTTGGCGGAAATTAGACGAGAACCCATCTGCCTGCCTAGGTTTGAATTGATTCATGATTACCAAAACCTACGACTTTCGTCCCATTTACGATCCTATACCAGCCGTCCCGCTCCAAATTCTGCGTCCCCCACGGGCACTTCACATACTTGGAGAAAATCGAGGTTGTCAACTCGCCCCAAGAGCTGTCAGGGTGGACCAAGACACTCTCACAATGATCAGTGTGCGCGAGACTGCCGATATAGCCGTCAAGTGGTTGCCCATGCTGCACCGCCCGATGCATTTTGCGCCACATGTAAGTGCAGTGGTACATGTGGTACTCCTGCGTTACATAAAGGTGTTCGTAAGTCCCCTTGGCGACGGTGGCCTGGTCGATGGGATGACGACCATCGGCGTCTGTAAACCACTGCCACCGACGCAGATGGAGGAAGTCTAGCATGAGCTCTTGATCGAAACACCGAGAAGGGAGCCAAGCGAAGGACATGACGTCAAAGCTGCAGCCGAGAGATGTGGCTTCTTCTGGAGAGCCACCGCAGCTTTCGACTAGAGCGGTGTTGACGTGCTGGGAATCATAGGCAAATGATGCCAACGCTATCACCAAAGTCGCCAATGCGAGCAACGACAATAATACAATACGTCGCCGAACATTGGGTTCTGGGTCAGGGCCTTTGCATTTCCTCTGCTCTCGTTCGCTTGGGATGTCTCCTTCAGCCGTGGGTAAGATTGAATAGTTCATTTTCTCGGGAAAAAAAAAAAAAAAAAAAGAAAAGGGATGATAGTCCGTTTTACGGTGTGGCTGGGAAGTAAGAGAAGTCGGAACGTGGTTTAAGAGCTTGTTTGGCAAATAGTTTTTGGAATTAGTAACGAATTTTGGCTTACGTTTTGTGTAATACATGAGCTAATCGCCATACCAAATGTGGTGTTCACACTTCAATGAGCCTGTCTTAACCAAGGCCACGAGAATTAAACGCAAAAGACTTTGGCGGCCATTGGAATGCACTCTACATGAGGGGCACAGTGATGTTGTTATTTTCACACAACTGAATCGATTTTGTTGTTTTCTACCAGCAACGCAAAAATGCATATCCAGGGAGAGGAGTTGCTCAAGAATTCCATGCATAGCACTATCCACATACGACCTTTGTTGTAAGAACAAAAAGCAAAAAACATAAAAAACGAAATCAGTGGTCATCAACCTTCAATGCTAATTCCTGATCTATTTCTCTTCGCTGCAAAATTCCAAATTCTGTCAAAATTTCTGCAAGTGTGCTTGATGCGAAAATTCGGATCCACAAATTCACTCTTGTGATTATACGTGAGAGTAATTGGCGTCAAGTCCCCATGACACATGAGTACTTGCCGTAGATAGTCCACACAATGAGCTGTTTGAAGGTATCAGCAAGTCATTTCCCCCCTGCTGCGAAGCGGCAATAAGAAGTGACGGCTTACTTAGATGCGCAGCCTTCCCATGGGCTGTAGGCTCGTATGGCACAATGCCATACGCCCGTTTCCGGAGGTAATTCTGTATGATATTTTGTTAATATCTCACTGCTCAGCGCCATGAGGGAGGGGCAGGGGACGGCTTATAGCAGTACCAAACAATGCAGTTGATGAAAAACCTCGAGAGTTATTATGTATTCATCCTCCTGACCCGGAACAACACTTGTCTCAAGGTCCAACTGGTCATATTCTTCCTTGGTGAGCGAATACATGCCAACTTTACCAAGAAGTCAATAATACGGCTCATTAAATATTTGGGATCGCTTATTTTCTTGCCTCGTACAAGGTGATTCCATTTAATGTCAATCTCTGGGGTTGGTCCACCTTCGTATGGCGTCCCTAGAGAGTCGTCTCCCCAGAAACCACTAGGATCGAACGTGACCTCCTCATATCGAATCGCCTCTTTAGCGAAAGCTGCAAGAAGTCAGTTGTTCTTGCTCGCCCCAGAGGCTCTTGATCTTACGTAGTTCGGAAGGTAATAAGTGTAGCTTCAAGTTCTGCCGTTCCCGGTGGTTATGCTGCAACAGGAGAGCCAGTGATAGGATAACCAGATGAACGAAAACAAGATAAAGTCGACGTGAGACTACCCAAAAGTGAGAGCTTTGTTGACCCGTCTGCTCGCCAGCATTGTACTCTATCTTGGAATACATCTTCCCTTGGGTAAGGAGCGTCCAAGACACACGTTTCAGAGAGGGGTAAATTAATAGATGCCTTCTGCGTGGTTGTTTAAAATTGAAAAAAAAAAAAAAAAAAAAAAACACACACACAATTATGGTAATCTCCTGGTCCGGATGTCCCTTTCACGTCAGCCAACCCTTCTGACATAATGGTGTGATATTGTCCGTGGGTACCTTCGATTGAGCCCGGTTAAACCCGAATTGCGGGGATGCAAAAGGTACCTTGGGCGATGAAGGCAACTTGGGCTTCTGTACCAATGTCAGGGCATGAATTCATCCCCCATGCTTTCGTGTTTTCTAGGGTGAGATTCCTCATGGTTCAAAGGCTATGAGCAGTTTTATGGAGACAGACTGCCAGAATCTAAGTGATGAACCAATTATATAAGGACGGCTTAGTTACCAAGTCCCATCATGAACTACAAAGTGACAAAGCCATCAGGTCTGGTATCTTGTCACACATGACAGTGTGGACATCAGCCCCGCACCTGCTCCAGCAATGGCGACAGATTGGGTTGAAGTTGCTTCACGCAAGACTTACGTGATGAGCATGCAGCTCACATTCATAGTGCTGTAGCTCGTAATTTATTGACAATGGACTGACATTGACGGCCATCTCTCCTTGACAGACTCCTGTGAGTGTTCATCATACCCCCGTCCCTTGAATATCGAATAGCCGCATAGGTCAGGATTATCTGCTCCCAAGTAGAGCAAGGCGCCTAGATAATGTCGCATCCCAAACCACCAGTATTTCAGAATCTCCGTAATGACATTATGTTTAATGATGCAAAGCTAGAGCCGCAATAGCTTGCAGGATTGCCATCCCTTTGGTCGGAACAGCAGCCAACGCCGTCACTCGCGTATAAAACTTCCCGTAGACCACTATACAATGCCCTTGATTCGATGCTATGTGACATGTCAACGGACATCAAATAATTGTATTATCAGTCATTTCAGAAGAAATACAACACGGAATCTTCGGATGAATATGAAACTAAATAACAGGATTCATAACACAAAAACTTCAATATATTAGGTACAAAAGCAATTATATTGAGGGACTATCGCATGTAACCAGGAGGAATGTCGGCAGTCACTTTTCACTGAATTAAATAACTACTATCAAGAGGCACTTAGATTCCATCAAATTATATAAAAAACAAGGACCAAAAAACTCACTATCCAAAGACATGTAACTAGCTTGTAATTTATTATGAGAACTAACAAGTCTGATCGTGGTGAACAGGAGGCGTGAAGGAGTCCTTGTGGTGCCAATCGTCGCTCCTCCGGAGTATATCCAACAGGTAATTGACGCAGTGCTCCATGTGGAAATATTCGACGAGGATGGGCACATGTCTTGTTTTATATTTGAGGACCTGTGCCTGGGCAAGCAAAAGGTACAGACAATGTGTGGCATGCTCTCGCTTCTCAACCCACACACCACCTTGTTTATCGATGAACTTGAAGAGGTCTTCGTCTCTGGCGGGGTCACTGATCGGTTGGATGCTTTCCAGCGTTTCGTAGTATTTGTAGGGCTCGGCCAGGCGAAAGAGGTCCTCGGTGTAATGCGGACAATGCGCAGGATACCAGGACCACGTTAAACGATCGAAGGAGCAACCGAGAGCGAGGGCTTCAGCTGTCGAGTTTCCGCAAGGGTTGGTGTGAGCCGTTTTTGAAGATGCAACGCTCATAGTTTTCGTTGCAAAGACACCAATTCCAATCATCGCTACCACCACGACACCAACAAGCACAGCCTTCCAGGCGGGAGGAATCAGATCGAGATATCGTGGGAACGGGCTCTCTCTCGGCTTCTCATCATCTGTATCTCCCAACCTTTGACTCGGGGCGGAAAAGTAATCCCTGATCGGGAAATACTGTCTCGTTGAAGACATGGTCTGCCAGGCTTCAGAAATTAATGTGAATGAGAGCCCGCCAGAATTTGCGGTGGACGCTGTAAGGGTTGAATACAAGTAATGAGTGGTACAAGCTACCGGTATTCATTCTCGGATATGCTTCATGTAGTGGAGCTTGTGTCCTTTGACAGGGAAGTTAGAGGAGCCAACAACTCTCTTCGCAGGCTTCCTCGGGTGGTGCATATACTCGGCCCTACCGACATCATTCTCACGTAAATTACAAGCACAATCTATTGATCCGCCTTTAATCTTATGTGACTCTGACACGGAAACATCCCGCTTACCTAATATTGTTGCTAAAGCCGGTAGCTGTCTAAAATTTAAAGACACGCTTGCCAAATAATGGTTGCTCCGGATTCTTCGCGACCCCCTTTCCATTGCTTCCTTGATGTGCCATTTGATGAGACATGCTATCCGATCAAGAAAACGATCCTTTCCTAAAGGCTGAGGCCGATACTGTGGCGTCAAAAGAAGACTTTCAGAGTCTACATGACGCATCCATCCATAATTGGCACACCTGTCGATCTTATGCCACATCGCTGAAAACATATTGGCTGCCCATCTTCGTTTTCTCCACGACATCTCTCGTCTGGGGCTTCATCCTTCTGTATTTCTTACGACAAGCGCCTCACTTCACTCACATAACAAGCCATTTCGCCGAGGACAATCAGATCTACGGCATGCCCATATCCGGGTACAATTTCCTGAGATGTGGAACATCCGTCGCCGACGCAAAAGCTTTCGGCTGCGAGTACGACATACTTGCCAACCACTGGGTGCCTAAGCTTTGCATTGACCAGAAGGCGGTGGAGGATTATCAAAGCGACGGAACTTGGCATGGATTTGCCGATGAAAATAGGACAGAGCCAATCAGCTTGGAAGCCATGGGAGAGCTTGAGTACTACTATACGTCAGAGAGAGATCATATTGTACATTGCGCAATGCTATGGAGGAAGCAGTATAATGCATTCGCCCAGGGACGCAAGTATCTTGACTCCATTACTGCAGATCCGGAACATACAAACCATTGCATACATTATTTGATGGATATGACAGATCTTGGCCAGGACTTCAGAACGGTATCGCTCCAAGTCAACGTCGGTTTTGCCGGTTGCTACGTAGGAGAGGATTAGCTTGGCGCATTATTGCGAATTTTGAACTCATATCTGATGCTACCTTAGACTTCCCATTCATAAAGACCTCGTAGCCAGTGTTGAAATCTCGAGATATATGGATTAGCGAGGGTTTGAAGGCGCTCTATCAAGCCTAGGAATGGCATATTGAGACAGCTGGCTGTCGTGTTGATCAAGGTGTTGAAAGACGCATTCAGCGTCCAGAGCCTTGACCTGCGCGGCGACACACCAGTTATGTCAGTACCGATGGAGTCTGCTGCAGTTCCAGTCACGAGGTTCCAGAAGTGGCAGCTTCTGAAAATCACGAGCTGAACGGACCTCAGAGATGCTGGAGAAAACTTGGCTGGGGACGTATTCGTGGACCCAAGCGGCCTCAAGAACCTCGAAGTCTTGTGCACCTTTAAAGCTGCGCGTGATGCGGAGGCAGTTTAGTTTCTGGCTCACGTTGCCATAGCCGCTGATGACGCGATGATGACCCTCGCTGGATCCGACGCTTGTGTTGGGAGGCTGACATTGTACGTGATACTTGTCTCCGACTTGTAGCGTCATCTCACACGTACTGCAGCTGCCCGGGACAAAGGCTTTGACCTGAAACTAAACGGTTAAACGTAAAATATATCGAAAGAGAAAATATCAGAAGATATGGGGTCTTATCCCATTCGCGATTTAAGTTGATATTCCTTGTTGATACTAGTAGAATTGGCGCAGGTCACTTTCAAACTCAACAGAAGCAGTTATTCAAATTTTCTGGGAATAATTGAAGCTAGGAACCAATGCAGCGTATTGCTGTCCCATAGCTACTACAATGTAGCCAGAAGTCTATCCGCGTTCTCGCGCCATGGCGCCGCATCCTCGGCATCCCTCGTCCGCATCCAGCGCTTCAAAGCATCAAAGTCTCGACACATGTGGATATTGTCAAAATCTGCCATCATGCGGTGTCTCTTCTCGATCCAAAACGTTTTTATCAAGGTCATATCGCCAGCACACATCAAGCTTTGTCGGAGAGAGTCGATGCAATGGTCTATCAAGTCTATAAATGCTGTTCATTACTGGGGTTCATCAAGCTTACCTATATGGGTATCCAGATCACTTCTGTTCATGGCAACGAGATCCGCGTAGTGTTGAAGATGAAGGCGTTTGCGGACCATATTCTTCAGGGCCATGGATCAATCAGCCGCCTTGAACCGTAGCCGAAAACTAATTGGTGACTTACAAGACAATGCAAATCGTGAAAACCTTGTGACCTAGACAAATGAGCCTGAAATCCCATGTTTTCTTCCTTCGAGGGATAGTGGTACTAACATTGCTACATGCAACCCAGTTTCAGGATCTGGGGTTGTGCCCTCCAAATCTCCTCCTAGTTCCCTTTCTGATACAAAGATATTCAAAGCTAGGTATGAAATACCTGTATTAGCTCAGTGTGGACTCGCGTCGAAGGCAACTTACGATGTACAATCTTTTCCCAAGCATCATCAATCTCTGGTGATGGAGGTCCGACATAAGCCGGTAGTGTTGTGTTAATCTCGCGGACGAGCCCAACACCATCCACAATCTTCAAACCCCCGGTGAATTTGACCTGCTTCATCTTGAGCGAGACATGTTTCTTGGCCGCCTCTATCGAAGCGTATTGTCAGCCAAAAGCTCCCATCCTAAATTTGTTTGACTTGAGGAAGTCTCCACTGCGATTCTTGGGTCGGCTCACCAATTTCATACCGTTGCCAGATGCAATCTTGGCTGCACTCCCTGGACCTCAAATTCGTCTGCTGGAACACCATCAGAGACAACAATGCCAGAGTAAGGACCCATGGTAGAGCGATAGCAAAGCTGAAGCGCCGCGGAGTGTCTGTAGACTCCTTTCTGGCGAGAAACCCACTCTCGTGAGAGAATCGCGGTCCAGCCTCATCCAAAGCTACGTTGCTTAAGGTGTGGTAGTGAGCGTCCGCCATAAGATTCCCAAACTTCACTCTGAGGCGATGGAAGTATGGGTTGTATAGAACCTTCTTGATTTCGAGGGTTGTCAGGAGCGGGATAAAGCTCTCTGGATGATCTTGCGCATCCGGAGGGAGATGCACCTATCACCTCAGTTAACATCTGCCTTAAACATGCTAACATCACCGTCATCCACCCGTAACTTACCAGATCAGGCAGGTAGATAACTGAGCTTTTGTTCCTACCAACTTGGATTTGCCGGTGTTATTACATAAGCCACTTTTGCATCTCATTTTGAATCACGTCAGCTCTCCCACGTCATGCTATGGTAGCTTAGGTCAATTAGGCACCTTTAATAGAAGAACATGAACGTCTATCGTATTTTGGGGAGTTTCTTCCATGCCTTATGCAACTGTACCCGCCACCCAAACATTTGACAAACAAGAGAACAAAGGCGGCATAATCCTGCCAAGCTCTGTAACCAACGAAACAAGAGGCGCACTCATCTCGAAAGTATCGAGAGTATCAAGAACAGCACTCTCTTCAATATAGATTAGCTAATGCCTTTGTAATTTCTCCCATCAGCTTTGAAGCAGACTTTGGTGACACTGGAGCGTACATGCTGGAGCCCCTGTGATGACAATAAAGCCTAACTACATAAGATGGCTTTCTGGGGAGTTTCTCAGAACAACAGCAATAATGAAATAAAGTAACTGTAAGCGTGCTCTAGAAGCTGATCCTAAGGAGGATATTTGCGTGTCACCACAACATCGAGAACCATTCAACACATAGTGGCGTATATTAAAATATCATAATCTCTCAACCTTAGGCTCGCCATGACTTGATAGCCATTGTATCACATTACTCTATGGTTCGTGCAAGACAGTGATTTCGCAATTCGTTCGCTCCGGTCTTTTTTAAAATGCTAGCCACGGTAACCCACACATTATTCGACGAAACGCCTGGGGCATATTTTGAGAATATCGGCGGCGTATTATGCTACTCTGCAAAGTATCTTTGACGCACAAGTTTTAAGTTTCATGTTAAGTTTTGCACAGCCAGTGGCCAGGACAACTTCTCAGCTATCAGGCAAATGTTCCACATAGAACGTATCCTGGGTGGCGAACATTGCAGACTTGCCCAGTAGTGCAAAGAAGCCTCCCCTGAACGTGCGCATTGGTGATTCAGAGGGAGGAAAGCATCCTGCTCTTGGTGGGAAAATATAATAACTTGACTCCCTTTAGAGTGGCCTGTTACTTGTGTTTGCTTATAATAACCTGCCATAATGAAAGGACTGTTTTAACCCTATATTCGTATTAGAGCCTTCCACGCAGGAAGTTCATTTGCCTTAATCCACAGATTTAGTTTGACTAGTTCAACTAGTTGACTCTGCCTATTTGGGCTTCCATATCGTTTGGAAGAAGAGCTAAGATAATGAATGGGGTTGGCTAAAGTTTGGCCAGATATCTAGGTTCAGGCAACGTTTGGACGGGCCGGGCTATTTAACAACTGCCAAATCCTACATTGGCTTCCACTGTAATGTCGTCGAGACCTTCGATAGTAGGCTTCAAAGCCCACTCCTTCAGCAACAAGATGCAATGATTGCTATGATGCACGTTTGTGACGAGTGTGTCGCGCCGTGCATCCGTCACCAGCACGTGGGCAACCCGCATCAGCATCCAAGCGCAGTGTTCAACATGTTCACGCTCCGTGGTCCAGAACCGGAGGCCATTGTCGACAAACGGCTCCGCCAGCTCGAAAGCAAGTTCGTCATCCGTCAGCCTCCGCGTGCCTTCTTTGTCCGCGTAGTATGGCCACCCGGTGCTGTTGGGTTCCGTGTAACCTGCTGTCACAAATTCTTGCTTGCCGAGTTGCGGACAAACTGCCGGAATCCAGCCCTTGACGAGGTTGTCATAGACGCATCCAAGGACTTGCGCCTCGGCGACAGACGAACCGCAATGAAGACGGTGGCCATGGCCAAGGTTCTGGACGTTATTGTTGTCGGACCGGAGGAATAAGACAGTGAGCGTGACAACGGCGATGGCAAGGAGGGCTATGAGGCTGTGAAGAAGAGCCACATAGGCCTTGCCGGCGGGTAGCGCATGTCGTTTTCTTTTGGAAAAATGGCGTATGTGAGCCTCGTCTTCTTTCGCTCTTTCGTCATCGGGCGACAGAGGAGAATATTCCTGGGCTCTGGGCGACCAGAATTTGAACATTCTCAACAAGACCTGCTCAATAGATTGCCAGAGGAATTCAGTACGAAACTTTGTCCAAGTAATTTCTATACTTGGGAATATCCACAGGGAAGACGAATACTTCCAAGCCAGGAAATAGAAAAGGAAAGAGTATCCGCATACTCTTTAGATGCAGACGGGTAGTTCGTGGAGACACTCCTCTCGTGGGTGAAGTAACCATGGGCTGATGTGATATCTCGCATTGACAATGAAATCTGACGTAACAATAGAAAAGTCATTATGTGCACCCCTTTAAGTCAACGGGTAGGGCTACTCCTCCAATTTGTACACACACGTCTATCCTAAATAGAGAAGGTCTTGTACTGTTTTCAACTCCAGCATGATGCTTGTACTACCGTTTCAACATGTTGCAATCGAAAAAAAAAGGTGGTTGAAACTTAGTTCTATAATGATATCGGTATTGCAGGATTTGGCCTCTGCCCGTATATCCGATATATCCATCTCGACTACGTCTGCGACGGTTACAACAAACAGTGAAACAGGTTACTTTCAAGGAGGCTGGCAGTCCCTTGAGCCTGTTGCACAGGCCGATAAAGGTGCTGCGGCACACATGAGTGGCGGCCCGCAGTCTTGGTCCAATACTACGATAGTCTGCGCGCAATCGGGAACATAAGCGAAGTGAGAATCGACCTTTGGCTTATCTCCCATGTTCAGTGACATATCCCCTGGGGATTGAGCCATCACATAGCCGTACTTTGCTTCATTTCGTCGTCGGCAACGGCGGCGAGTCACTCTCCTGCTTCTTCAGCACGGTGCCAATATTGAAAGGGAAGATGACGATGGGCAAACAGCATTACACATTGCAGCCGGGTTGGATGTCTGCCAATAGTTAAGCTTCTTCTTGAAGCCATGAACGCCTTCCTCGTGGTTGCAAAGTGTGACGGCACAAGGGCACGAGCAAGGTCAAGTGCGACTTGGATAAAGCGATTGTTCACAAGGAGAGTAAGAGCTTCCGAAGGAGGCTCTGACTCGAGCTATCCGAGTCCTAAAGTGGGGCCGTTCCCTTACACAAAGGACTTTCTTGGCCGGACCGCTCTCTTCCCTGCTGTGCAAAGCGAGAATGAAGGAGTGGTGAAGCTGTTCCTGGAAGCTTCGCTGGACCCAAATTGGATAACACAGGCCTGGTTGGTCTGCATACGGCTGGGGAAAGGGGATCAGTACCGATTGCGCTGCTACTCCTTTCCTTTGGGGCCGATGTGAACGCATGAAAGCATGATTTACCCAATGGAATAGTTAACGACTCCGATTCTAAGCTTTAGTTAGTTCCTAACCCGAAGGTACTTTAACGCCAACGCTATCCAAATCGTTGTGTGCCGCTTCAAAACTGACTCATCAGACTCCAAATATCACCGCCAAATTCGAACCACCAGAAACTCAATTACGCGGGGACTTGGTCAAAGAACGGAGCAGGGACCCAGGCAAAAGATGTAGTTTGGAAAAATGCTACTGGTCCCACGACGATCCAGCAGCGACAGTTTGTTGCCAATGAATTACAAGTAAGCGAAAAGGGCGCCCATAGGGGCTCCTACGTTAGCAAAGACAGGGCAAGGTTTCTGGTAAGACTTAAACAGTGTCTATCTCAAAGCATGAGGAACAAGACAGAGTCACGCGAGGCAGGTCTGACGGCAAAACGGCGGTGTGCTTGGAATCCCGGGAGGCGCTCTTATCAAGGCGCAAATAATAGAATCGAGGCTCGGTAATGGATCGGGCCAATCACAAGGAAAATAGAAGATGTGATACTCGCGATCTGAGAAGAGCCTCACGCCCGTCTTAGTAGCTACTCCGTCCCTACATCCATACTCACATTATTGGTTGATAACTTGTTTTCTTTTACTGGTCGCGTGGCACTGCATACCGCAGGTAGAGAGAATGCATCGTCCTCGCCACAAACTGGGTGCCATTCATCGGCATAACGTCAGCCTTCCTAATGCATAACGTAATCCACAATGATTAACTCGCAGACACGCTGGGTGTGGTAGATACTGTGCCTCTGATCATCAAAGCCTCCGTCCGCTGCTAGCAGAATTTATAAGGATCCGCGACGTTGATGCTGTTTACTAGTCCATGGATTACACCTAGCTGCTGAAGCTGCGGAAACAAGATTATGCACAATGGCCTCAAACGAAGAGATTCAGCCACTGCCAAGATTTGCGGCGACGCCAGATTCGATTGCGGAAGATGCAGAGAGACTCGTTCAGCGTTCACGACGTTTCCACGATGATTTGGTTCAGACCGTCACTCCGTCGACGGCTACCTTTGCCAATGTTATACTCCCTCTTATCAACATGGAAAACGAATTCGCCCTTCAGTCCAACATCCTCTGCTTCTATCGACATGTTTCTGAAGACGCTGAGATCCGTACGGCATCAAGCAAAGTCCAGACATTATTTAATGCCTTTCTCACCGAGTTGTTGATGCGTGAGGACATCTTTACCCTTGTCCGTACAGTGCACAACCAGAGCAAGGATCTTGACCAGGAGTCCGCGTCACTATTGACGTTTGCATACAACAGGCACATCCAGACGGGGGTCGGGTTACTTGGCGAGGGTCAGAAGCAACGCTTTCAGGCCATACAAGCAAGGCTTAGCCAAATAAAAACAACCTTTCGAGAGAATCTCGTTAGCGATAAGACTACTATCAGTTTTACCTTGGCCGAGCTGGAAGGCGTTCCCGATAGGATCCTAGCAAAATTGGAAAAAAAAGGCGCACCACAGGACCAGTACGAGGTCATTCTTTCTAATCCTAGCCACACGGAGATTCTTTCATACGCAACGAGGAGCGAGACGAGAAAACGTATGTTTATTGCCAGCCAGAATAGATGTAGTGACAATGGGCCTCTTCTCAAGGAAGCTGTCATTCTCCGACACGAATCCGCTTGTCTGCTTGGATTCCCAAACCACGCTGCTCGTCAACTTCAAGGGACGATGGCCGAAACTCCAAACACGGTGAACGATTTTCTGGAGGATTTACGCATCAAGATCACACCAACTGGGCTAGATTCATTAAAGGTGTTCAAAGATTCGAAGAGGGACCATCTCAGTAATCAGGGTGAGGCAGACCAGCATAACGACCGGTTTTTTCTTTGGGATTACCAGTTCTACCACCGCCTGATACTCGAGCAGGAAATTTCGCTCGACAGGCAGAAATTGAGGGAATATTTCCCAGTACAAACAACCATCGCTAACATGATGAGTATATTTGCCCATCTGTTTGGATTGGAGTTTACAGAACTGCAGACAGGCGAGAAGACCCCGCACATGCTCTGGCACGAAGATGTCCAAGTCTTTCGAGTTCATGAAAGCCGGGAGCGTGGTCGCGAGTTCCTCGGACATTTATATATTGACCTTTTTCACCGACCAGGCAAATATGCACAAGCATCGTGCTTTAACCTCCAGCCAGTAAGAGCATCCTCATCAAGCCCAAATAATCCCATCTCATGACCATCTCTAGGGGTTTACTCGGCAGGATGGGTCACGTTCATTTCCGGCAGTGGCATTTCTCTGTGATATCCCTAAACCAACCTCGACGAAACCAAGTCTCCTGTGGCATTTTGAAGTGGTACTTATGTTCCATGAGCTTGGCCATAGCATGCATGATATTGTGTGTAAGACCAAATATTCCCGCTTCCACGGGCCGGATGGCGTCCCTGTTGACTTTGGTGAACTACCAAGCCAAATGCTTGAACAGTGGTGTTGGATGCCATCGCAGCTCAAAGCCCTCAGTTGCCACTACTCGTATGTAGACTCTGGCATGCTTGAGCTCTGGAAGACGGAGAATGAAGCTGCTGGTGTTACCCAGCCGGATATACATATGCCAGATGAGATGATAAAGTCTCTTCTTCAAGCTAGACGCCTTACTTTTGGGCCGTTGTTCTACCTAGACCAGCTGCAGCGAAGCATGTTTGACATGGCCATCCATCAGCCATCCAACATGAAAGAAGCCGAATCACTTGATCCAGCTGCCGTGTGGAACAGGCTCCACAGGGAAATTAGACTCATTGATGGCCCTGAAGCGCTTGGTCAGGGATACACCTGGGGACACGGCTACGCTACCTTCTCCCATTTAATGCAGGATGATTATTCTGCTGGGTACTATGCCTATCTATTGTGGGTTCATCTAAAACCCACTCATACAAGCTACGGAAATACTGACATTGTTGATTCCCAGTTCACAGGTGTTCGCGGCAGATCTGTTCTTCACAGGGTTCAAAGATGACCTCACAAATAGCGAGCAAGGACAAAGATATCGTCAGGTCATTCTTGAAAAGGGTGGATGCCAAGACCACATGCAAGCTCTTGGTGAATTCTTGGGTCGAGCGCCGTCAGCAAAACCGTTTGAGAGTCTTCTCGGGATTTGAGTGGAACGAAAAATGGGTTACTTGATGTCTTAGCTGATTCGTGATGGCCACGCAACCGATGCTGATAAGCATATGAAACCAGGTAGATAATATGAAGCGCTTGGTCTTTCTTGAGACCTTGATATCAAGACCACAGACAAGCCATCCTAGGCTGCTGAGCCAATGGAGTGTTGACACTATTCTCGATACCCAGGGGGTAAAACGCCCATGGTTCGATACATGAGAGAGGCTAGGCGGAGGAATGGCCGGAGGAGTGCAAGCATCTTACATACTGCTAGCCCTGGTGGCGTAATTATGGTCCAACGTTCATCCGCCGGCGGATGACGCAAAACGCCCAGGACATACCGCCGGCGTATCTCCCAAGTCTTTGATTGTATCTTACATAAGAACTGTTCCAGTGTCGTAAGACTGAAAGTACATGACAGCCTTCAATGAAGCAAGACTGGCAATCGCCGAATGACTATTGCGATGTGCGAGTTATGACAGAACAGGCTGCGACTACTGTCAGGGGTAGGCTACAGCTATGTGTCGTGAGATTCCGGGAGCAAAAGATCTTTGTTCATCAGCCATATCATGCAATGGTCAACCGGAATACCAGCTTCATCATCATCATTACATTTCCAGCTGTCATTATCCGCCTACTAGTTATGACGAGAGAAGTCGAAAGTACGTGAAGAAAACTGTCAGGTACAAGGAATTCCTAGGGGCATCTCGTGATCAACACGTAATTCGTCCCCCAAATTACTAAAGTCACGAGCAAGCAAGTCACACTCCTGATTCTGTGGCTATATATCGAAAGCTACCAGCCCGCAGAGCTTAACAGTATACATCTCTACCACAAACCTCAAAGACTGTACTCCGTCCAAGAAACTTGACACCTTCACAACATTTTCAACATGCAGTTTTCCTCTATCTTTCTTGTAGCCCTTGCTACTTTCGCCTCATCGGCTCCAACCGCTGCTACGGACATAATTGGTAAGAGAGTCTATTGCACCGGGAAGTGGATGTCTATGTTAACCGAGCCAAGGTCGTGATCCGGCGCCACAGCGTAACGCCCAGGGTTATGGGGGCTACTACATCAGTACGTACCTGATACCGACAAAAGCCCCAGACGCAGCTAACAGACGAAATTACAGAAGAACGGAACGAGAGTGAGGAAGAACCCGCGGAAGAATTACGAAATCGCAAGTTTTGACAAGTAATAGAACGTGATCCGGCGCCACAGCGCAATGCCCAGGGCTACGGCGGCTATTATATCAGTATGTTCCGATAGCGACGAGCAGAGACAGAAGCTAATGGGATAAACAGAGGAAAGAGGACATGTCGAAGAGAAGGTCTCGCTGTACTAGAGCAAGTCCGATGCTGGCTGCATGATCTGATGGGAATCTTGTCATTTCGGCCTTCGGTTTGTCGATTCGTGCACGGGTTCAGGCCAGCTCTGAGCCAGCCGGTCATGGTGACAGGTTGCCTCAGCTCGCAGTTTATAGTTCATAATTTCACCTAGTTTACGTGGTTTATGTCAAGGATTATATGTAAGCGCTGATGAGCTCATGTGCTTCGTATCATCATTGATGTGATAATTTTTGACAAAATTGGTTACAAGAGGAGTCCAATTACGTGATAAGTGCTCAAGTAGCGTGTTCTAAGGTTCATTAACACTTGTCACACTGTAAAAGTCCGCCAATGTAACCCCCACCACACTCAACTCCCCTTGCAACAAGCCAGAAGTTCCTGGATCCAGACAGGCTTCCCCTTCACTTATGACATGTCCTGCACAACATAAGCAAAGTACCTAATAGCCTCCTAGCTCCGCATGTCTCACTATTAAGCTCCTAAAAGAGAAGTGAAAGAAAAAAGCAACCGGCAGTTCGATCCACAGCCTAAATACGTTGTCACATCCAGAGAAGCTTGCCCTCCAGGGTTTCTGCAAGGTTTCTCATCTTGAATAACACTGCCTAAACCACAGGTGCCATCTACCCAACAGATACAATGAAGGCTATTTGCGTTCTCTTTTCAACTCTCCGTCTCGCCTACTTCACGGCCGCAGTTCGCATCCCGGACGTTTGTGCAAGTATCGCCGCTGTGATATCATCCACTACACCGACCTGCTGACAAATTCCAAAGCCAGGCTGCCAGCCAGAACCTCGCTCTACTGTCGACGAATTAGCATGGGATACAGAGCAGATTCCGGTGCAGCATGATCCAGAGCTTGCAAAATATTTTGAGCTGCAGGATAGTGCTCCGGAGTCATGGGAATCTGTACCTGTTCACTTCTCACGGTAGATTCGTTGTTCAAGGAACAACAAGCAACAGTTGGACAGAGACACGGAACATCGGTTTGACAGCTGGCTGGTCTGCGCCGGATATGGTTTGACAAATGCGACCTACTATTTCTCGCACGCATTGGGCCCTTCCCTTAGTATGACTGCTGCCAGGAGAGAGCCATGTCTAATCAACGCAATACTTTTTCTTCGGGTGATGTCAGATTTCGGCGGACTTACGGAGGGCTGGCTGCATCATTAAATGAAGATAAAGCAATCATTTCCCCAGGCTTTATTTTCCCATCGTCGCAGTTCAATACGCGGTGGATGGATAGTTGGGTTACTAAAGGGAACCGGGACAAAACAAGCAGATAGTGGGAATAGAATAGCTGCATACGAATGTGAATATAATAAACAATGAATCAGCCCTGTTCGCAGACACACCATGTATTACACGGGTAGCTGTCTTACGCAGAGTCTTCATCTATAGGTTCAAGGAGATGTGTGGCCGCCTCGTCAGACGCGCCCTTGCTTTGAGAAACAGAAATTTCAGCCGTCTGCGCGGAAGAACACTTGGCTATACTTGGCAGTACTAATACTGAAATTATCACCTCAAACATGGCGAGAATCCCCCAGGCATAAATCACCTTGGCTGAGTGGTGCGCATGTGTCAAACCCCTAGCACCGAATTTGGTCAGTCATAAGAGTCCGTATCTGCGGAAGACACCGGTCAAAGGCACGGGTCACGAACAATCCTGTATTGGACATGCCAGCAGCGAGCATGAAGCGCCCATTCCAGACGTGGAGACGCGTAGCTTTTGTATTTCTACGTCCAAGAGAGAACTGGACATGATGCCAGTAGCCGAGGAATAGTTGTACGAAGATTGAAAGCGTCAGAAGTGCGCCAATTACTGTATGCGTGTTGAGCATTCTTTGCCACTACATGTTTTAAGTAAAAGATGAGTACAACGACAAGATTCTGAATGTGTGTGGGCAGCTTACCATGCTGTTGTGACTCAGGGAGGTGACCTGCAAGAGTACCCCGACAATGCAAGCCAAGGATGTCAACACCTGCCAGACGACGTGCACCCAAAACCAGTGGATGAGTCTCAGTCGAGCGATGACTGCTCCAGCCGGATACAAGATCATGAATGCTGTGCCGAGGAGAGATCCATGCCAACCCACTGACACCAACCGAGAGCGCTGCTCTTGAGCCGGCTCGTTCAGCAGCGAAGACGACGATGCTGCGTAGGATCCTTTACCTGCATCTAATGGCGGCGGAGCTGCGGCTGCGTTGCTGGGATTCCCCATAGCTTCTGTCATGTTAGCGTAGAAGAAGCCTGCCAATGTGTTCATTAGCCATGAGAAGTATTGTGAATTAATAAGGCATCATGTCCCACCAAATGAGTTGTGCATCTGTAGTTCTAGTTTCTCATCTGCACTTCTGATCGCTTGATTACTGTTGTATGCCCATATCCAAGGGTGATTTTGGGAGTGTGGTTGAAAGTTTGTCCATTCGTCGCATGAGGAGCAAACGACGTAAATCTGCTTCCAACCGTTTCTAACTGACTTGGTCGAGATCATTTTACCGAGGGATGTGAGCCTTGGGTCTTGCTCAGGAGGGAAATGTCCACTGGCAGGCCACCCAACGATGGTAAGTAAAAAAGTTGAGATCAAATACAACAGATGCCCCGGCTGAAAGGCAAGGGGCGGGACAGGGGGTTCACCCACGTCGTCCTACGGGTAGTAACAATGCTTTCTGCACCAGTATGTCAGGTTCGATACTTCGTTGCAAGAAGTAGGATATGCCGGTGATGGGTATGGGGGCCAGCTACGTACCCTCCGTCTCGTCCGTTACCACGACGAACATCAAGCTCTCAGCCATTGTCTCGCCGATTCCCACGGCCATCCAGCCTTCTCCCGGTTTGTCCATCATCTCAATGGTGAGATACAAGTCCACCCCATGAGCGGAACCACTCTGGAATGACGCTATGGACACACAAAATTGAGGTCCTTGACTTATATCGTCGGCGCAATACTGTACAACGGCAGTGGCTGGTGTGCTGGCTAGCAAGCCGAACAAGAGCCGTCGCAGGGTTGTCTTCATCCTGAAGCTTGAGGCGAAATGCTACCTAAGTTTTAAATATTAGTATCGCGGCCCGCACCGAGCTTTGCTTTGGACTAGAGGGCAGGGAATCAATAATAACAGCGTCAAGAGGAACAAACAAAAGCGCATACCTTCACGTTCGGTGATTAGCTATAGACTAGTAATCGAGTAAGGTATTACCTAGATATAGCCTCGTAAGTGCCCACAAGGGATAGCAACTCATGGATTGTGTTTCTGGAACAGATAACTCGATGCAGCATTTTTTTTGTGCTTCTCTATGAGGGCCGTATTCAACTGGTTAATGCTAACCGGATCTGGCCGTTGAATAAGGTGCATTAAGCTTTACGTTATCGTGTCAGAATATTATGAGCATTACCACGAATAACCAAAACCGTGGCGGAACGCGGGGGAGGCTGAAATCTGAAAATACTGCACCTTCAGTTTCTTACGTCAGATTCACGAAATCTGCTTAAGTCGGGTACGGTATCTTAGGTAGGCTAGGTAACCTGCCTAAGTTGGCGACTAGCGATTTGAACTCGCAGGTTGGTAAGTACGACATAAAAAGTGCCGTATTCTAAATAAAAGTGTTGCCCTTGTATTGTATTTGTTGTGTTGGCAACATCGTATTTGTTCAGGCAGCATGGCTACTTCAATCACCGTGTCATCAGCCTCGCCAGCGATGGCGATCAATATCGCCTCCGGCTACGCCACGTTCCTGCAAGAAGCTTCGAGTCTACAAGAGCATGAGAGCGGCAGACGAATTATCATACAAACCCACACTGGCACCAATGCGGACGGTGTGGCTATTCCTCTTTGGATATTTCGCATTCCAGATGCAGCCGTTGAAAGTTTGGATATGGCCGCTGCAATGTTTGGTGCGTTCTGCGAGCCAGGGACAGCACCAAGATGTGCTTCTTTGGTTGTTCCGTTCTATAAGAGGTATTCTATGTCAGGAGAATTGGGTCATCGGTCGGAGAGCTTTCTTCTCGTCGCTAGTAGGTCCCTATCTTCAGCTCCAGACACCAAGGACGAGGATAATGTTCCGTCCTCGTCAGCCCGCATGAAGTCACGGGGAATTGGCATGCTATGGCGCTTTTTTCTTGGAAGAGGCAAGGATAAGAGACGATCCGAGTGCAGTTACGAGAGCTTTTCGAAAGATGGAGTAGTCTTTGCGTCGAGTCATCTCTACAAGAGTGCCTGGCGAGCCTTGGTTGTCATTCTTATGGCTATTTGTGTTCTCTTGATTGTCCTTGGGGGTATTAATACACGCCGACCCACGACGCGAATCCTCAGATCCGGCGCTCATGACAGCGAGAGTGTTGCGATAGCATGGCACCGCTACCATACGGGCACTAGTATTGGGCCAAAGAATCAATTGCGCATCCAATGGCATAATGCGAGTGAATGGGGACGCCTAAACGCACATCAAAATGGCGAGGTAAGTCATGACAGGACCTAGGCTCGTCGTCGTTTTCGACCCCTTGGATTTCTTTGCCAAAGCAGCAGTCTATGCTAACGTGTGCTTTCGTTATCCACAGTGGGAGTTCAGGATAGACGACCAGGCACTTATCCCGGCACACATGCTGGACAATGACGAAAGAGACAGACAAATGTACTTCCGGGCACGATATCCGCACATGGCTGCGGTGGTGGATGCGAGCGATTACATCCGCCCGGCTTGGCTCGGGTCCAAGTCTATTCTTATAGAATGGGATAGCACATTCCATGATGGGCACTGCATCCTAGCGCTCCGTCGCTACTTTAAAGCGAAAGAGACGGGCCGTCATGTTTGTCCACGCGACATCGATCCAGCCCATATTCTCCACTGCCTCAACACGCTCGAGAAGAGTATTCTTAAATCAGGACCAATGAGTCGGCATAGTCCTCCAAGTTATATGTATTGGGAAACAAAGGTCTGCTTCTAGTCGCTTTGAATGGGGCAAGCCTCTGTTGGACTGAGGGTGCTGGTTAAAGCAACAGCTTTGTAAAATCTCAAGATGATCACTGACAAGGCACAGAGAGTATTTTCACGACGTGGCACAATAAATCATATAATGCACGTAATGCAAAGCCGCCCATTAATTATAAATTACCTTGGAAGTAAATGATTCATTATTTAGTAGTTTAACATGTCTAAGAATTTACATTGGTTGGTTGCAAAAGAGAAACGGACGTAATTAAATGGGAATGTAATGTACTGTATTTATTTACGCCCGGAGGGATGATCCCTAAAGGGCCATAACGATGCGCTACTTGCTCATTCTACCCTGTAAGCTAAACACCTAAAGCCCGACAATGGTTTCCTTCCTAAGCACCTGCAGCCTCATTTCGCCAATTGACTGTCCTGCCCTGAGGTCATTCCCCCCGAGTGCCCAGCATCCCATCGTTCCGATCAAGGTCAAAGGCGCTACAAAGATCTGGACCTCTATAAAATGTATACCGGTAAGCAGGCCATGTTGTCCATTGGAGCGACATGATTTGCCTCTTGAGTTCCGCGCATTTGAGCGTGCAGATGTACAAATGAACTGATGAATTGAGATATGAAAGGAAAGAAGCTCGGGAGGGGGAGGAGGGCGCAGGGGCTTTGTGTGCCATCGGGTCGACGCGCCGTCCAGGGTAAGCCACCAGACATAATAAGCATCAAGTCTGGTACACGCAATGACTACATACATCTTTCATAATTTCCAAGCACCGCCGAATACACCAAACAAGCTAGGCTCAAAGGCGCAATAATGGGTATTAGTAATAATAATACGAGTAGGTGACCAAAATTGATCCGTCGTCTGATGATCGTCTGCCAAAACTCGTTGCTGACAAGAGCGTCGCAGGCGAGGTCCCACACCCGGAGACCTTAAAGTCGGAACTTGGTGTTAACATGCGCGCTAAATACCCAGATAATAGGGAGCCGGTAGATTTAAAGCTTGTGATTCCGCAAAATGATCCCGATAAGGTTGACTATACCTGGCGCAGACTGCATATCCACGGCAAGTTGATAAGCGAAGCTTTTATAATGAACTCTGTACATCACCCTTAATCCCAGCTTCTGCTTGAGGCGATGGTGATCTTCCTCTTTGGGAGACAACGGGCGACTTATGCTTAGCTTCAGAAGGTTAAGTATTTGATCCATAATTGCGCTTGCAATTCAGCCAACAGTGGGATTGTCCCCAGCAATAGTCTAATAAACCTAATTGTTAGATCGTTGCTCCTCCAGATCTGCCAAACTAACTGTATTAGGGATTAAATTAACCTTACTGTTACGTGACGGAATTTAGTTGTAACGGTCCAAGCGAGTATATTGACAACTGGCTAGGATACTAGAACGAGTATCTAAAGCTAAAGAGGAAAGAAGAAGAGAAGAGCTCGCAGAGCTCTTATAGGCTTGTGAGCTTGCTTTCTGCTAATCCCGCTTGTTGCTGGGGGTTACCAGTGACAAGGAGAGATGAGGCGAGAGTGCAAGCCGAGCCACCATCGGGCTCAGCCCGTTACATTAGTGGATTTAGCACATGCCACAACTGGTCACCCTAGCAGCTGTGGCAGCCACCCTAGTAGCTGCCTTAGGCACCTAAGGTGGTAGATTTAGCCCCCAGCCTTAAATAGAGCATCTTAGAGCCCCTTAG